TTTCTGAGGAACTACATTGTTTGGTGGAAGAATACTGTTTTTATTAATATCATTACACTTTATTTGCTCTGTTTTATTTTGTGAAACCTTACTACGTATATGGAATAACCGTTTATATCCGCTTCGCGTCGTGCCTAACAACGCCCCTTAGCTGTTATAAATTCAATGTAAACCACGGCTTCTTGGGGCTTATTGCTTTAATTTAATGACTCATCTGCATCACTACAAAACAAATGCTTTATTTTGCATGCAAATAAATAATGCTTTATTCATGCAAATATTACACTACATGCTTTAAAAAAAATAAAGCATGAAATACAATATTTGCATGAATAATTATAGCAAACATGAATGCACCTCCAGGTCCCATGGAGCCGACGCCTCCTCCACTGAGACGGTTGGCATTTATTGGCTGACCGCCGGGACCCAAACCCATCCCAACACCACCCAGACCTCCTGCAGCACACACCATAAACACACATTTACATATGGCATTATATATATACACACACTCATCCCAAACAAGCACACAAAGCTCTTACGGGGTAACTGTGGCGGTTTCTCCGCAGGCCTGAAGTCATCTGGAGGAAGTGATTTATCATCCTACAGTAAACATGACACAAACACAAGAATGAATGCTGAGCCTCATTAACGCTCAAACTGCATGAGAACAAACGCTGCAGCGGCTCACCATTTTCACATGCATCTGTCTGTCAAACAGCATCTGACCGTTGAACATGGCTGTGAGCGCGAGTGAAGGAAGACATTAAAAAACATACCGTCTACACGGGCAGTACACACTAGCTAGTGACACATTAAGAACCAGAAATGAGTGCATATTTAATTACAGAATGCCTCACATACATAACATTTCAGATCGTTCCAAAACAACTGCCTTAAAGGTGACACATCATGAAAATCTGACTTTTCCAGGTTTTAAGTGCTATAATCAGGTCCCCGGTGCATCTACCAACCAAGGAAACGTGAAAAAGATTAACCCAGTAACTTTGTTTTGGGAAGCCTTTTTCTGCAAGCGTCTGAGAAAACGAGCGCGTCTGATTTCGCTCCCTTGGTGACGTGGCAAAGGGATCTCATTATAATATTACCACCCCTTAATCTGTAAGTTTACACCCACGGCGCCGTCATTTTAATTTTGCAAGCGACAACGGTGTACCAGCTCTAATGCCATGGCGAAAGTTTGAGCAAAACATGCTAACTGTTCTGTCTTTGGCTGCACAGACAAGCACAGAACACTATTTACAGTCCCAGCCTCAGAGCAGAAAAGAGAGCAGTGGATTTATTGATTTATTTACTGTATATTGCTGCTGCCACACAGATCTAAAAAAAACAAGCGATTTATTTCCAAGCTGTTTACCTTCACAGACATAACCGACTGTTTTTGTAACTCGGGTGTGTTTTTAACATAAACTTGTGTGTGAATGAGAACTTAGATTAGTACTCACATGC